TGTCCAGTAGTTTGTCTCAAACCATACTGTGAGAAATACCCTTGACAGTGGAGTCATGCAACCAATTGAAATAATGACTTCTACATTAACATTTAAAACTGTGCACAATAAATGAGATCCAATCCACTGTTATGCTCCAGCAAACTGAGGGAGAAGTCTACATGAAACTTGAAAGTACTACAAGTACTTAATGTGTAACTTGTGATAGAAGACCCTAATGTTCTGGGGGATTGTGAAGTCATTGTCATTGACAAACCTGGACTTCATCTTAAGAAATGACACTGGACCAAACAATTGTTTAGGGAAGGGCTGCATGGTCTCGAGGCATAGTGTCTGCCTCGAGTGCTGGAAGTTCAGGGTTCAATCCCTGGTAAGGGCTGGGATTTTTTTCACGTGTACTTGGACTTCTAGTAATTCCCTCTGGTCTCTGGGAAGTGAGATCAGACGCCCATGTGTATTACTGCGCACATAAAAAAATCCCTTGGCGGTTGGAAATCGAAGAGTAGCCCAATGGTTCTACCCAGGCAAAGTTTGTAGTTAAAAATCTACCCAAAGTATTTCAGGATCCTTGCCGGTGCTAGTCTGTGCACTGTGCTGAACTTTTTACGGACTAGAGCACTTATGGGTTACTAACCTTGTGCCACGATGTTGGTCCTTTGTGCAAACTCAAACACACATATTTTACAGTCATCTGTTCTGAATTTTTCGATCACATCTGTCCAAAGAAATTTACTATAACCTGGAGAGTTACTTAAGCCCATCTCTCCCTATATATCCTGAATAATTAAAGCCCATCTCTCCCCATAAAACCTAGAATGTTTAGCTTCACCTGACCTAGAAAAGTTTATTACTGTGGCTCAGGTGATCCCATCTTAACATCTTGAAACCCTGTGTCTGAAAAAAATGTTTGCCACCCTAGCCCTTCCTTTGTCCTAAATTGGTATCAACGGGTTAGATGCTACTGGACTTGTAGATGGGAAGAATCAGAATATTGCTGGAAGATAGGGTTTTCAAACTGAGGAGGAACCTGAAAGACTGGCAGATACTTGTCGCAGCTTGATGAAACTGCGGTGATATTTAAAAACAAAAAAGTGAAGTTGTTTCAAACTCTGTGGCATTTTTATAAACTAAGTGGCATTTGATGGGTGCTGTAAGAATCGCACCTGCCTCCTTTACTTCCTATATTTCCTGGTACCTTTCTTTGCTGAGTTGACCCGAAAACCCTAATCTGCCTCAGCGTGGTGTTGGTGTCGGCACGCAATTATCCAGCCACGGCACAGGTGTAGACTTATTTGGCACTATGTTCACTTAAAACATAGTTCTCTTCTGGTGGCACCTGAAATTTGATCTGACACATGCTTGGTATCTCTTGCTAAATATAATGTGTTGACTCTGTACTTACTCTGGATGGTCTATTGACAGTGCACTGATTGTCTTTGCAGACACTCATGAATTGGAAAGTGCCCAACAGTTTCTAGAGTCGGCAGCAGCCCAGAACCTGGTGAGTATCCTTGGTCTTGTGTTACAGTTCATGTGTCGTGTTTTTCGGCAGAGTGAAATAAAGGAAACACATGCTAGACAATATATAGAGATAAAAATGAGACCTGTCACCTTCAACAGATAAAGCCTTGCTGCAGGAACAAGTCTGCTTTGAATTACAGCCATCAAGACACCACTGAAAGAGATCTGCCATCAGCAAGGATTGCTACACACACACCTGCACCAAAAACTAAAGTGTAGATGGGTTTATATCTTAACCATTGAAATCGCACCTTCAGTTCAATGGCATCTGTCAGTCCTGGGGGACTATGGAGATGTGCCGCTGGCTTTGGGAACAGCATCTGCTGTGACTGTAAAGTCCGATGCGAGAATGGCAGTCTTTGCCACACAGGATACACACAAAAGCAGATGCTCCCTCATTGTGAGGCAGTTTTACTCTCCGGTGTCTCCTCTCCACAGCTCGTTGTGTTTGGTTTCTTTCAAAATGTGACAGTCCGTCTTTCACTTTCTGTCTCCATAGTAGTCGATCTGCTGCAGCTGATTTTTCCCATGTCTCTGTGCCTATGTTGGTATCTATTAGGCCACGTTTGCATACATCTTTATAGCGCAGCTTTGGCCTTCCTGTAGGTCTATTCCCAGTTACCAATTCACCATATAGGAGATCTTTTGGAATACGACCATCCTCCATGCGGGAGACATGTCCCAGCCAGCGCAGACGTCTTTGCTTCAGTATACAATACATTGATGGTATTTTTGCTCTTGTGAGCACACATTCGTTGGAGACAAGGTCTCTCCCTAATATACCAGACAGTGCATATGGAAGGTTTTTAGTCTTTTTTCCTGTGGAGCATAGAGAGTCCAGGATTCGCAGCCGTACAGTAATGTGCTCAGGACACAAGACTCATAAACCTTCAATTTTGTATTATCAGTTAGCTTTTTGTTTGACCAGACTCTTTGTGAGATTTGCAAACATAGCAGAGGCCTTTCCTATACGTTTGTTTAGTTCTGCATCCAGAGAATGATTGCTTGAGATACATGAGCCTAGGTACTCAAACTCATTTACAGCCAGCAGCTGATGGTCATACACGCTAATGTTTGGTGGATTTCCAACATTCAATCCCATCACTTGTGTTTTGTTCAGACTGATGGTAAGCCCAAATTCTTTGCAAGCATTTGCAAAGCGATTCATCAGGATCTGCAGATCATCCTCTGAATGTGCCACAATGGCTGCATCATCCGCAAACAGAAAATCCCTGAGGCATCTCGTGTGCACCTTCGTCCTTGCACGTAGCCTGGACAGATTAAAAAGATTGCCATCTGACCTCGAACGGAGGTATATCCCCTCAGTTGCTGTCCCAAATGCACGCCTCAATAATGCGGTAAAAAAGATGCCTAACAGCGTGGGAGCCAGATCACATCCTTGCTTTACTCCATTTCGAATATGGAAGAGTCGAGATGATGAATCCTCATATATTATGGTCCCCCTCATATTCTCATGAAAGGATTTGATTAGGCTCAGTAGTATAGGTGGGCATCCATATTTTTCAAGGATCCCGAATAGACCATCTCGGTTACAGACATGTATATTATAAGATCATATGTTGAATCACAACATATGAGCCAGCTCTTATGCCCTATGAACTCTTGCATCCAGGGTGTCCTTGATATCCTGTGTCCACTGTCATGCTGACTGATCCCTTCTTCTTCCAGGAATAATGCCCTCGATTAGTGACCTCTACAAACAATTATGACATTTAATGGACTTTAAGTATTTAACTTTAGAAGAAATTATAGTCTATGAACCAGTAAGTTTATGAAGGTTGCCCTCCCCCTCATATGACTCAAAATGTTCCTGTAACATTTAAACTCAGTAGCTACAATTTTATGTTAGCGAAATGTATATTGTATTGAGAATTGTAATTTAAACATGCCCATAGTCCCTCCCCCGCCCCTTTTTTTTTAAACAGGGCCGCTAAATGTAATCTTTTAAACTGTTTTAGCCGGAGCTGTTGAAATCACTCAGCGACATCCTGAAACATGGTGGCAACAGCCCAGTGGCTCGCATGCAGGCTGGTCTACAGCTCAAGAATGCCCTGTATTCAAAAGACAACACAATCAAGCTGCAGCACCAGCAGAGGTGGCTTCAATTTCCAGATGAAGTCCGCAGCTATATCAAACAGAATGTAAGTATGCTTGACACTGTCTACTGCAGTAGGTATGACTCAGACCTACGTCCTAGGTATAAATATGCTTCATGTTGGTGTAATGCCACACATTTGTAGCTTCCTTATCTGCCAGTCCATTCAGTTTAATGGTTGGTATGGCTGATATTATTTGTTAGTAAGTTTGAAAGAGGTTTTTTAAAGAGCTGAAAAAAGATGGCCTGTTCTTACTGCTCTTTTTTTATTTTTAACTACAGAGGGATTTTTCAGCATGCACACAATACCTGCTAGTTTTTACCTTTGTTAGAGACATCTGTACTAACCCACATAGGTGAAATAAGCCAAGACCTGAGACTTCATACCTGTACGATACACCTGCTAGTTTTTACCCTTGTTAGAGACATCTGTACTAACCCACATAGGTGAAATAAGCCAAGACCTGAGACTTCATACCTGTACGATACACCTGCTAGTTTTTACCCTTGTTAGAGACATCTGTACTAACCCACATAGGTGAAATGAGCCAAGACCTGAGACTTCATACCTGTACGATACACCTACCATTTGATTACATGTTCTTGTTTAATTGTTACAAGTTTAAGGAATTCTAAACTTATATATTTTCTATCCATGGAACATGCTATTAATATTTAACATCATATCTGAATGCTAGAATTCTGAAATAGGAATGCTAGAAGTCCTGGCCACCTGAGAATGTAAAATCGAATAAATATCCGACACACGGTATATCTCTGATTACTGATGCATGTTGTACTGTTCAAAAAGCAGTGGCAAACTACTGAGTGTGAAATACTTAGGGAAACCAGACGACAGTTGGTGCATGCAAGTGCTGGTTTGTGGTGTGCTATAACAGATTTGCAAACTAACATGATGCCGATCAGAACTCTGACAAGAAGCATGAAAATATGTTTCAGATTTTATACTCCCAGGTTGACCTAGGCCTAATTTTGGTACTAGGATATGTACTGGAAAGTGTTAATCCACTTCTGGAATTTAGTCTTGTTCGAGAACTTGAGTTCTGCATATCTGGCTTATTTGTATGCAGGCTGTTGGTTGCTCACTTCTCAAGCATATGCACTCTGACTATGAAGGATCCACCTCTAATTTGTTGCCTTTTGTGACATGCATGTTACAGAGGTAACATTTCTTGCCCCCCACCCCCAGATGGAGCCCCAGAACAGTCACATGGAAGTAAGAGAATTGGACACCATGTCGACCACGTCACCCAGATACCCATCTTTTTATACAAATTGTAGATCTGGCTTGTGGCTTTGAAAAGTTCTAGGATGTTCCAACGTGTGGTAATTGTGCTTGCAGGTACTGGACTCGCTGGGCACAGAGACTGTACGGCCCAGTTCTGCTGCTCAGTGTGTTGCCTACATTGCTTGTGCTGAGTTGCCTCACAGACTCTGGCCAGACCTGATTGCCAGACTCACCAACAACGTGATCAATGCCGCCAGCACCGAGATGATGAAGGAGGCCACCTTGGAGGCGGTGGGCTACATCTGTCAGGAGATTGTGAGTAGATGCTGTTGTCAGTTAGTGTCATTTGATTGATTGTGATCCCAAGTGTCGATTGATTGTGATCCCAAGTGTGGATTGATTCTCAATGTATCTGTGTGTTTGTATCTAGTCAGAATTGTCTCGTTCAGACATTCTGAGGACTATGAACAAATACAAATGAAAGATGCAATGTTGGATGAAATATATGTGAGGTTGCAGAAATGTGTTGTGGGTCTAGCAAGAAAGGATGTACGAGAGGAAACAAGTATGGTGTGTGTATGGAGCAGTCAGCATTTCACTGTAAAACATAGGTCATGAGAGGTGGAGCATCTGTAGGGAGCCTATTATACTATGATGTTGATTTTGAAATTAGTTGAAAATGCATATGCTTAGAAAAATATCTGTAGACATCTATAATTGTCCAGGACTGTCATTTTATTAGGTTGTATCCTTTTTTTAAAGTTAGCATACACCTGATATTTTGTGCTGCTTATAGGATTCTTTCGTTCTTAAGCCCATCAACTGATCGAAGGTGACATAGTGCACATTTTTTATATTGTAATGCAGCAACCTGATTTTATGCTGATTCTAGGTTGGGAAATAAAGATGCAAGGTGTATAGATGTGTGTGTATTTTTATAAATGTATGTATATTCGTGTGTGTTGTGAGCTTCTTGAATACTGGACTGTGTTGTGTTGTTGCAGGAGCCAGAGATCCTCCAGCCACAGTCTAATGAGATTCTCACAGCCATTGTACATGCAATGAAGAAAGAAGAGCCAAGGTGAGCCCAGTAGTGTCTGTGTTGTACTGGTGTTTGGATGAAACCTCTTGCCAGAACTTCTACCTCACACACAGCTAGTGTTGCTTCAATGTTTTATAGTAAATATATGTTTGTGGTTATATAAGTACCAAACATTGTAGTAAGCTTCTAAAAGTTCAAAGGTGTGTGGTAATCTTGATAATCTTAGTTTCAGCAAATGCGTCACCCCATAGTTGCTCCGCTCCTGTACCTACGAAATACATACAGAATGTTTATCACAGTCCCTTGTGGAATGATTGACAGACTACTGTCTCAGCATATGCACTAGAATACACGCATTAAAGGCATATGGTAGCCATGCAAGGTGCTAACACAAACAGTCTGCCATTAGAAATGCAGTTCATCATCGACAGTAGCAGAAGTTACCAACAGATCACCAGTTGCACGCACGATTAACTTAATCACATAAGGGTGCCACCAGTACTGCGACAACAGGCCACACGCTATTTTTTGAATCCACAATTCACAACACCTCGTTGGCCATAGACGCAAAACATTCCAAGTGCCATGCACTCAGCTCAGTAGCTGGGCGACAAAACTATCCATTTAGTCTACAAATGGAGCAAAAATGCAACGGTCACCGTCTGTCAAAAGCAAAGAATTTGCCACGACTCAAAACAGTAACCGTGCCTAGCGTCCATTTTGACCGGAAGTCCGCCAGGTGTGTGGGTTTATTGCTACATATGAAATACAGTGCTGTAACAGATTGGTATCAGTGCATATGAATCCGTGACCTTGATTTTATACTGTTGTCTGTGTCAGTCTAAGGGTTTATACTAGAATACTTAACAGTTTCATGAAAATATCAATTTGGCATGCACCAACCTGTGACTGACTCATTGTTCTGTTTTCAGTAACCATGTCCGATTGGCTGCAACAAATGCCTTGCTTAACTCCTTAGAGTTCACAAAAGCTAACTTTGATCAAGAGGTACGATTAAGATTTTTGAATTAGTTTTCCTCATAAAGTGTACTAGGTTTGTTCTTTAGTTGTTTTTCAAGTGCTGTAAGTTTCATAGTATACTCTGCATAGCATTAGAGGCTACAATGAAATTCTTGATTGTAAAGTTACAATGAAAAAGTACACACACGCACACACAGAGTGAGCTTTTTTAAATTGAGAATCTCATGGGCAGTGAAGAAGACCAGTATTCTGAGGCTTCATGAAGCAGCTGACAAAGTCACATGATCATCCATTTGGATCATGCCCTGTGTCCCTTTTTTAAAATGTCAGAACAGTTGGAAGTAAATTGTGATTGACTGACCATCCTGTTAGAGCCCTCACAGTATTTTGTTAAAGGAAATTTAATAATTTTCACGTCATCACTGTGACCACGGATGCTTGCTGATTGTTGCCAGTCTGACGATAATCAGTAAAAATAATGTAGTGTTTTCCGATGTACATTTGAACAGATAATAACAAATAAATCTAATGCACAAATTGAGATAAGACACCGGCTTTCTGAATCTTTTTTTTAAATATTTCCTAATGCTTTGAACACTAAGGGACACATGAGGTTGGTTAGTTTGTTAGCTGACACATGTTCATTGCACATCGAACCATCTAGTCTATAAGTATGAGGCATTGATTCCTAGTTAATTTAACTGTCCTCTGGTACTGCAAGAGCTAGTTCTGTTTGCAGTTGATTTATTGATTTTTTTCCCTATGATTTCCAGGCTGAGCGACACTTGATCATGCAGGTGACCTGTGAGGCCACACAGTCAACAGATACACGGGTATGCAGATTTGCTCTTCATCCCATTTCATTTCTACTGATGGCATAAATATGTCTTTGCTACGTTAGTTTTGTTTGCATACCTACTACTTATTTTGCCAGGAAGTAAAGGACATCACTGGTGCTTGTATGCACTGTCTGCACATTACATGAGGCTGATGTAATCATTATGTGTGCCCTAATACCTCTTCAGCAAACTTATGTATGCCCTAATACCTCTTCAGCAAACTCTGGTCTTGCACATAATCCACTGAGCCATAAACTGGGATGTCATCTCAAGGTCTATTAGGTTTCCCAAAGCTTAATTGTTAGATCTGCTGGTGTGGCCACATGTTGCTTTCATCTCCGCTGAGAGAGGACAATCCGGCAAGACATTGTTCTAGTCTTTTAGCAAGAAGACACGGGCAGAGCTGTTTGGTCCACACTTATTTGAATGTTTGTTGTGTCTGCAATATCCAGTGTGTAAGCAAAAAACTGACTCGTTTTGTTCTCTTCAGGTGTTTAAGGAAATCATTTTCAGTTAGAACCTGTGTTGGTTTTCCACTGTTTCTGATGTTTTCTTAATTAGGGTTTTGACTTATGGAAAAGAAAGTGGTTGGTAGATTTGTGGTTACCTGCTTTGGCTAAAGCATCAGCACACTCATTATCTTTGATGACACAGTGAGATGGATGCCCTAATTTTGTTTCAATGGAGGTTGGGCAGGGCATCTGGGATCAGATCTGTTGGTCTGTCATCCAGACTGAGATGATTTTATCCTAGGGTGGAAAGCTATCAGGTAGCAGCCTATAGAGAACAAATACAGATGGATCAGTTAAGCAGTTGTCTCAGTGACAAGTGGCAGAGAACTGCTGGAAGAGCCAAGACTGGTCTGACCTTCTCTGGAAGGCCAAATATGGATCATTGTCCTCATAGTGGAATAAAACCATGTCATTGGGGTGCTAGTTGCTGTCAGAATTAGAATTGAAAATACCTAACTTGGTTTTAAAACTATACGTTATAGTTTCATATTTTGGTCAGGCTTTTAATTACTGCTAATGCCTTGTTAAATTATTGTCATATATGATAATGATATCCCTTCCCCATTGTCCGTCAGATGCACTGCATTTGCATATTTGAGGCTAGTCTGTTCAGTCAGTTTTTAAACGGTTTAGGAAGTTTTACGAACATTCAAGTCGTATGTAAGTGTGATTGGACACTGTTTGGTATTTTGATTGTATGTGAATTGTAAAACTTGATTGATTTCTGGCAACAGGTGAGGGTGGCGGCCATGCAGTGCCTGGTGAAGATCATGTCCCTGTACTATGTGTACATGACTCATTACATGGGCCCAGCCCTGTTTGCAGTAAGTATGTTAATGGTGGCTCACTATGTATGTCTGGGGGCACACTAGCTACGGATTTGTTTTACTTTGGCATGTGCTGTTATTGGTGGCTGTCAGTATGTGTTTGGACACACTGTAGCTATGGATTTGGTTTACTTTAGCATGTGCAGTTTTTGGTGGCTGTCAGTATGTGTTTGGGCACACTGTAGCTATGGATTTGGTTTACTTTAGCATGTGCAGTTTTTGGTGGCTGTCAGTATGTGTTTGGGCACACTGTAACTATGGGTTTGGTTTACTTTAGCATGTGCAGTTTTTGGTGGCTGTCAGTATGTGTTTGGGCACACTGTAACTATGGATTTGGTTTACTTTAGCATGTGCAGTTTTTGGTGGCTGTCAGTATGTGTTTGGGCACACTGTAACTATGGATTTGGTTTACTTTAGCATGTGCAGTTTTTGGTGGCTGTCAGTATGTGTTTGGGCACACTGTAGCTATGGATTTGGTTTACTTTAGCATGTGCAGTTTTTGGTGGCTGTCAGTATGTGTTTGGGCACACTGTAGCTATGGATTTGGTTTACTTTAGCATGTGGGTATTTGTATCTTATATCTTATTATAATTACTTATAGTTATAATTTGAACAGCGTGTAACTGTACATATGACTTGCAAAGTTTTGTATCAAAACATTTATAGGGATAATTTTTACAGCAAGCAGATGTGTGTATATATATGTGTATGGGTGTGAAAAGGTTTGTCAGCTTATTATTTATTGACATAGTTTATACTTGTAATTAAGTATAGCAAATGAGCTTGTAGTAGTGTACTGTAGAATTTGATAATTGGTTTTGTGTGTGTGTTGTATATATATATATGTGTAAAATTAATATAAGTAATAATTTGTTCAGCACTCATAGGATTATATGATGGATGATTGAGAGCTGGCCTATGCACATAAAAACCAAGACCTAGTATACGTGTTCAGTTTCACAACCTGATTATGTCTTGTTACTCACAGATTACCATTGACGCCATGGAACACGACAATGAAGAAATTGCTCTGCAGGGAATTGAGTTTTGGTCTACAGTTTGTGATGAGGAAGTTGACCTGGCAATAGAACTGTCAGAGGTAGGTCTGTCTGAGGTAGGTTCTGTTAGATATCTACTCCCATGTCGCCGATGGCTTGCGGAACACATTTGCCCTTAAATATGGCCTGAGTTGTTAGCCCTTTAGTCGTCTTAATTGTGTTATTGTGTTGAGTTGGTCTGGTATGCCTTTGCTAGAATCTGATTTAAAGCATGTCATGGATTTTCTGTCCAGAATATTCTAGTTTGTGGTTGTGATGAACAGGCTGATAAACTGGCTGCTGCTGCTCCTCTGGGCCCCAGTCCTAGCATAGAAGGATCACAATTTCAGTACAGTTGGCAGGTGATCCACGGGCCACTTGTCAGGCCTCGGAGGGTCGCAGTAGAATAACCCTGATCTAGGACATTTAATGTCTATGCTTTCAGTGAGGCAACCCCATTTTTAGAAAGTGATTTTTGAAAGTAAAAAGTGACCTATGAATGGTAATGGCATTCTGACTGCTTCGCATCAACTTATAGCTGGGCGTTCTACACGAGCCTGTATTACGGGGCAGCTTACTGAACAGGACTTGTAGGAAAACTGGAATAGAACTCTGACCATATACGCTTCCTGAAAATCAACCCTAGCAATATTTTTTAGGGTGCTCAAATGACGAATATATTATGAAGCAGTCGAATGTGTCAGCTGAAAGGAGCAAATATCACAGCCATGCTGTAAACTCAGCTATATATATATATATGCATTAATTAATATATTAATGCATACAAACAAAACTGCCATGGAGAAGGAAATATATGTTAATGAGGAAAGATTGGAAGTGGTGGAAAATTTCGAATATCTTGGGTCACTGGTTACCAACAATGGTGACACAATGAAAGAAATTAAACGACGACTATCAATTGCTCTTCAAAGACTAAAACAACTGAATAAATTATGGAATTGTACAGATAGAATTACAAAGGTCAGATTTTTAAGAGCATGCATCTTTCCCATTGCAACATACGCCTGTGAGACCTGGACACTTACTAAACAAGCGGAACAGCGCATAAATGCATTTGAATATAAATGTTACAGGTTCTAAGAATATCTTGGGTAAAGAAAAGAACAAATGCATCCATACTTCAAGAGCTGAATATTGAAGAGGGTTGGCTATTAAAGACAATAAAACAAAGAAAATTGAAATATTTTGGTCACTTGAAACGTCATGGAAGTTTAGAGAGAACAATAATGGAGGGGTATATGCCTGGGAAGAGAGGAAGAGGAAGGCCAAGGAGAAGATGGGTGCAGGATGTGGCAGATGATCTCCAGATGGGTGTATCAGACGCAGGACATCTTGCTCAGGATAGGAAGGTTTTCCGGAGGGTTGTTATGGCAGCGAGGTTCCGCGAGGGACATGCTACTGAATGAATGAATGAATGAATATATATTCAGATGAACACAAGAAGAAGAATTCTGAAGTAACAAATGTATAACTGCTTTTGTTGACATTGCTTGAATAAATATATGTTTTACTTTATCTCTTGTAGATGTTTGTACATGACAAAATAAGAATCACTGAAAACATCCACTCTGATTATGAGGGAAACTAATCTTGCTGAATCATAATCATAGTCTCAGCATTTTTAGTATCACATTGTACACTAACAAATAATATTAGATCATTTCTTGTAATGCCTGGAAATGTCATTAATAGTGTTAAGAGGAATGTTTTATGTACAAACCGATACCTCAGTTTGGTGCCTGGCATGTGCAGATTTGCTTCTGCTCATGCAAATATAGGATATGGTTTAATGCTGGTGGTTTAAAATGTGCACTAGTTTAGTGTTTGTGAGAGAAAACATGGATACTGAGTGTTGTCTTTTGTTGATATAGGCCACAGAACAAGGTCGGCCACCTGAGCGCACGTCAATGTTTTATGCCAAGGGAGCCTTGCAGTACCTAGTTCCCATACTGCTGGTGACTCTGGCTAAACAGGTATTGTCTGTTGTCTCCTCTTCCACATATTACTCGTTTACTTTTTTAATTGAAGCACATTGTTTTTTTTTCTTTCTTGTATACACTAATCATGTTTTAGATTGTTTTATTAGGTACAATTAACCAAACATGCATTTTAGTATGGTCATAATTGTACTTGCCGCAAGTCCATAGAGTTTGGTTTCAGTGGGATGCAGAGGTGCTGAACCACACACGTTAGGGCACCGAAGACCAAGTCTCATCCTGGACAAGATCTCTGTGGTCATCATAGAAACAGGTTCTCACCTGGAGCCTGGCCAGCAGAAATTGGTTGGATGCTTCCTTTGAAGTTCATGTGCCTGAGGGATGAGAATTTAGAGTAATGTTGGCAGTAGTGCTGGCTATATGGAAAAGTGTTGTATTGTTCCCTGCATTCCATGACAGTGTTGCTAATGATGAGAGAATCAACCCTAGGTGACTACTGTGAGCTTTTGATTAGTCTTTCTGAAGCACCTGTCTTGGACTGCAGTGGGATACATGAGCTTTGACTTGTGTCAGTGAGGTGTTAGAGGTCAATCCTTCTTTTTCTTTTACTTTGTAGGTTTTTTTTTTTGCAATGTGAGTATCCAAAATGGACAATTGATTCTGTCTGGGATCATGTCTGCTGCCTGCCACAATGGTCTTGTGTGCTTGACCTACTGTTTTTGCTATATTCCACTGCTGTAGTTCTTCCGCAGTTTCTGGTCCTGCACTTTATCCACTATGAGCCATAAACTGGGGTGTCAGCGTGAGCTTTTTGAATGTCCTCAGTCTGATTTTAGAGGGATGTGGAAGTTCTGAACCACACACATGGTGGGGCACCAAAGACCAGGTCTCATCCTGGACAACAGCTTCCCAGCTAGACTGAGATTTGATGGATGCTTCCTTTTGAATTAAAAGTTCATATGTCTGAGAGATGAGAAACTAACAATTTGCACGCATATGAACCAGATCTGTTGAAGTGATATGCATGCAAAACTCGAGTTCTGGAACAAGACATAAGTCTTACCAAGCGGGTGACCAGCCAGAACTTTCCACTTTTTAGTCGACAAAACACCCTTCATGGCGAACAAAAGAATAACATACTAACTCCACTTTGAACCATTGCAAACCAGCTGGTGTCTGCCTCATGTTGAAAAGTGAGATCATTGGGTTCAGATAGTTGCAGTTAAGAGATACAATTGAGCATCCATCAAATCTGTTTAATTTTCTCTCAGGAGGAGCATGATGATGATGACGAGTGGAACCCATGCAAAGCAGCAGGTGTCTGCCTGATGTTGATGGCCACCTGCTGTGAGGACGACGTGGTCCCACATGTGCTGCCTTTTGTCAGAGACAACATTCAGAACCAGGACTGGCGGTACAGGGATGCAGCAGTCATGGCTTTTGGTAAGTTTCTCTCTGATGATACAGTATTACCATTTGCATTAAAATGGAACTACAGGAAATGATTTCAGTACTGGATTAATATAGAATAGCAGAGTAACAAAACCTAACATCTCACATTGTGTCAGCAGCTTTGGGTGGAGAAGCGCATTTGGGAGGATCCTAGAAAACACAATGAAATCTGAAAACTCTTATGCCATGGCAGGCAGCTGGTCTATAAGAATGGCTGTAATTGGTGGGCAGAGCATTGCTTTTCTGATCCAGCAGCTTCTTTAGCGTGCTTTGTTTCAAACAAGGCAGGCCAAGGTAGGGACCATGCTGCATGGGCAACATGTGGTCTCTACAGTACCGCCTAGGCTTTGTGCTACGGAGAGGAGGGTGCCTTCTCAAGCACAGTATAACACTGTCACTACAAACACGCAAGGCTGCCTATAACAAATACAAAGAATAAAAAAAAATTGAGGCCTGATCATTATGTCAATCACATGCCTGAAATATCCTGTCTCTTTTTATATTATCTATTTTTAGATTAAGTCTGTCCTCTTACCTTTTTCCTTGGGCCATTTTATTATGTGACTAGATATTTTAATAAGCCTGCTATTGTGGCCCGCTAACACATGTGTTGCTGCACCATTGACTAGTGGATCTCCAATTTTTTTTTCAACAGGTTCCATCTTAGAAGGACCTGACCCAGAGAAGATGAAACCTATTGTGGAGCAGGCCATGCCCATGCTAATTGAACTCCTCAAAGACCCCAGTGTGGTGGTTCGAGACACAGCTGCCTGGACGGTTGGGCGAGTCTGCGAGCTCTTACCTGACTCTGTCCTGCACGAGACATGCCTAACTCCCTTGCTGAATGCTCTAGTGGAAGGCCTTGTGGCCGAGCCTAGGGTTGCCAGCAATGTCTGCTGGGTAAGTCCTGGGTTTGTCTCGCCGAATGTAAACATTTTTTGTATGGAGTAGCGGACATCCTCTGATGAGTTAGGGGTGACTAATGGGTAATTAAAGCCAAAGTGATTTTATGTCGCTTAGCACAACAAAGACTGGCATATAATATCGCAACGTCTAGTGTGAGAATGAAGATGAAGGGGGTCACTTCTTCTGACGTGAAACTCAGCTGTACACACATGCTGTGATTGTAACTGACTCACATTGAGAAAGATGGAGACAGGCATGTTATGTGCGGAGTGGCAAGCATCACTTTGGAGGTCGCAGGTAGTTAGCATCCTTTGGATATTTTATCCAGATGATGTCGGTGTGTGAGAAATGAGCAGGCCTTAAGACTGGCAGGTTCTGCACCACTTGGTGGTGAATTGATGTATGACAAGCTTGATTTTATGAGGGCCCTTTGCAGGGTTGGGGTGAACGGTCTGAGGAGAATGGCAATCCTGGGAGTCACCTGCCCATATCTGTCTGATTTACTGTCTCTTTTTGTTCGTGATTACATGTGTTTGTAGGTCTGTCCTGGAATATTTTCTGTCCACAAGTTCTTGGTCTTCCTCACTGTCTACCCCCATTTAACTCTTCTGTGATTGCAGTTTTTTTTTATCTGCTATTCTCTTTAAATGTCCCAACTTTGACAGTCAGTTTGATGCCAGCAGTTAGCAGTGATTTCAACAGAATAAGAGACACCCACCACGACAACCGTTATCTCTGGTTTTTGCCTCTCTGATGGGTCCAAAGATTCATCACAGTACCATTCTGAAAAGTGTGTAACAAAGCTTCATCTCTAAGATTTCAGAGCCCTATAGGACAGTTTCTCTTATCTGTGTTTTATATATGTATTCTTGGTGTCAGTAGAATAGAGAATGCAGTTTTAGCTGATATATTGTAGCGACATTTATAGTGGCTACTCTTGACTTTGATGACAGTTTACAAATGTCTGTTTTGTGAGTAGTTCAAGGAGTTAATGCTGTATTTGTGGGTTCCTTGCAGGCATTTTCTAGTCTTGCAGAAGCCGCCTATGAGAATGCTGAAACACCAGATGATAGTGCCGAACCTGATACCTATTGTCTTTCCAGTTACTTTGAGATAATTGTGGAGAGGTTGTTGCAGACTGCAGACAGGTAGGACTGCTTCTCTGGGTTTGTGCACTGTTCTGTCTGTTGTTGTCAGTGGTTCATTAAAATAGTTGTGTTGGCACACCGTTATTTTCTCCTTCTGTGTGACATCAGTGCTTCGCCATTGTTTATTGGTTCCCTGTAAGAAATGTGAGTCTATGCTGACAGAATCAATGAACAAATAAGTGTCATATGTTTCTGGGTTTTTTTATTTTATATATATATATATAAGCGAAGCTTGATTTTCCTGTGTGGGTTCCGGGAAACGGATTTGTGAGGGGGGAAGGGGAATTGACCCATTGCCCCCTAACGTGTGTCATAAAAGGGGACTAGTTTAAGAGTTTGTTGAAACCAGATGTGTTGGGTTGAAAGGCACAGATATTGCAGCCAGCTGTATACAGCACAACGTGCCAACCACAGTTTGAGTGGAAATGCAAAAGTAGGCACTTAGATGTAGCCAGGTGTGGTTGGCATAGTGTTGAGAGTTGTGCTAGCTGTATGAAAAAACGTTTTGAGTGGAGAGTGTTGTGTTGTTTCCTCCCTTCCATGACAGTGTTGCCAATGATGAGAGAATCAAACTTTGGTGACTATTGTGAGCTTTTGATTAGTCTTTCTGAGGCACCTATCTTGGACTGCAGTGGGATACATGAGCTTTGACTTTTCACTGAGGTGTTGAGAGGTCAATCCTTCTTTTTCTTCTACATTCATTGTAATTTTTATGTGGTTGTATCCAACATAAACCTTTAATGGTCTTCTGTGCGTGACCTAATTACATGTTGGCCTACAGTCCACTGATGTAGTTTTGCACTTATCCGCTGATAGATATCAGCTTGACCTTTCTTAGGTTCTCTTAAGTTTAGTTGTGAGGTTTACTGAGTAAGACCACAAGTTGCTTCGCAGCTCTTTCAGAAGAGGGCAGTCTTGTAAGATATATTCTGGGGTCTGTTAAAAATGAAGACACTGACATAGAGAGCTGTTTGGCTATAAACTGTTTTATTCCTTTTTTTTTTAGGACGGACACAGACGGACTGGTTATGCATAGAGAATAAATATTCCAATGTGCGATTGGCATAATGTTGAAAGTGTTGATTGCCGTATGGGACAAGTGATTGAGTAAACAGTGTTGTATTGTTCCCTGCATTTCATGACAGTGTTTCCAATGATGAGAGAATCAACCCTAGGTGATTACTGTGAGCTTTTGATTAGTCTTTCTGAGGCACCTGTCTTGGACTGCAGTGGGATACATGAGCTTTGACTTGTGTCAGTGAGGTGTTAGATGTCATTCCTTCTTTTTCTACATTCATTGTAGTTTTTTTAATGTGGTTGTTCTCTCCATCATGGATTGTTGATTCAAGAATAAAACAACTGCCTCCCCAACAAGTATGTCATAAGAAGTCGACTGACTGGGAGCTTCCTTCGAAGCTGGAGTGCATCTACCGGAGAGACACGGAACCAATAAAATGCATACACATAAGCTAGATATGTAAAATGGGTGTGCAACACTCAGGTTCTTGAGCAAGACTAATGTCCAGAGGCGGACAAACAACCAGAACCTTATGCTGGAGTTTATAGCCAGTGAACGTGAAGAAGATGCCCCCCTGTTTTATGAGTGTTTGTAGAATCAGAAATGCAGTGTCCAGTGCATAAACAAAATTGTGTGACTTGGTTTGTTCCACACCTTTACCATTCAAATCCTGAACTATCTTGAGCCTGTGGCAAACATAAGCTCAACTTTGAGGCGTCTACTTCTTTTCTGAGGATTTTTGTTCAACCTAGTGATGTGTTCTGGTTTTTCTTTCAGACCTGATGGAAACCAGCATAATTTACGTAATGCAGCCTATGAAGCTTTGATGGAGTTGGTGAAGAACAGTCCTAAGGTAATGTTGTAACGTGTATTAGTTCTTGTAGTGCTCTAGTTGGTGAGGGTGCATATTTGACAGCCATCTCAAATAGCACATATTATCGCTTGCTTTAGTGCTGTATAAAATTTGTGAGCAAATATATAGGGGAGACAGTAACCCACGCCCCCTTTTGAACCAGAAGTAGCTTGTGATTTCAAATAAAACATTAAAAAATGGTGTCTAGAGATTAACAAGACTTTTGCACATGTTAAATAAAAATTATTATTATGATGTCGCAAAATCAGCAGATTTGACAACTGCAGCTGGTTATAATTAGGGTGTGTTGCATGATTTTGGTTAGTCTTCTACAGACCTTTAGATGACTTTTTTCTTGACTTTCCTACTCTCTTAATTCAGGTAAAATTGAACATTGCATTCAATTTAATGAATAACTGGAAAGTTTCATGTAATTTATGACACATGGCTTTTAAAAAGCAGTTCTAAAACACATCCTAGCAAGGCAAAAATAATGTGGACCCGATGAAGTGAATGTCTTTCGGGCGTAACGATATTGATTAACTGCACAAATGAATTCATTATCCAGTGTAGTATTTAATTTATTATCCTTTTAAAAGTGACATAATGCCTTTTAACAACTTTATGAGGCGAAGTGATGCAACGTAGAAATTACGTGGGACAAGGTGGCAGCTGCGATTACAGCTGTTTTTAAATTCAAAAAATAAATGTTCGAGTTTAGTTACAATAAATTGATAGTTGAGTTAGAAACATCTACTGCAGTTTTGTGTTTTAGGGAGAGTGGGCTGAGTTTGGCCATCAATCTGCATGATCTCAATTTCTTAGCTTGCGTTCTGCCAGATGTGAGGGACATTATTTTATAAGTTGGAATGTTGGTGACATTCTTTTCTAGCAGAAATGTGCAAATACTTACTACAAAGTATCTTCAAACGGTGATGGTACTCACGACAGTATGTCTTTAAAGGTGCCGGTACTCAGCACAAAGGGCTAGTTTCAGTATTGCTGGGGGGAAAAAAATACCTTGAAAGGGTTCTGTACTGCATGTTGTTGCTGGGGGGGGGGGGGGGGGGGGGGGGGGGGTGGGGGGGGGGGGGGGGGGGGGGGGGGGGGGGGGGGGGGGGATTTTGTCACTTGGTTATGAAAGACAATTATTGAGAAAGGAAGACATCACAAAACTTATACAAAACTGAAAAGAGAACCAGATATCTCTTCTTTTAAAGACTAGAAAAGTGTCTTGCAAGACATAAACAATAAAAGTGTATTGACACCTGTTTACATTTTCTGCTTCTGTTTCAGGACTGCTATGTGATTGTACAGAAAACAACCATGATCATCCTAGAAAAATTGGAACGGGTATTGTCTATGGAGGTGAGCAACATATACATCAATTATTCTGCATATAATCTGACTGTTTTGTAAGCTATTTCTTGAAACCGCACTTGGTTATCTCGCATCAGATAGGCAGCTGAAACTGCTGTCCCATTGTCCCTTTCTTTTCAGCATCACCCCTCCCTTTCTTGATGTGATTGTCATTTGAAGGACAAATGCCAGCAGGACGTCCAGCATATGCTGCTAGACTGGTATTTGAGCCCGCCCGGTGGGTGATGTGGTCAACACATGACCGCTTGCTGCTGCTGTTGTACTATCCAACATGAAACCTCAAGGACCCTTTTCCGCATCTCCAAGCATATATTGGGCTATACCTTTATTTTATAGACCAGTCGACACTATGTTGGCCATGTGGTGAACATTTGCTGGCTGCCTTTACTTCCCAGGACTGTACCTGCTACTCATTTACGGGTGGGTTGACCTGGGAGCAAAGGTCATTTCTGAAAAAAAAAAAATTTTTTACTGCCTCAGGGCCTGAACCCACAAGATTTCGATATGCTACACCGTGGCGACTTGACTAACGACTGGAAAAATTAGTACTTGCACACCCTTCTGGCCTCACTTCTCTCTTAGACAATTCAGCGCATACATTTTTTTATCGGGAATAATAAATACCAACTAAATAATAATTACAATTTGCTGGAAGATAAATGAAAGTAGAGACATGTAAAATAGGGTAATGTACCTCATGATGTATGTTTGCTGTCCGCAGGGTGCCATTCAGTCCACCAATGAAAGAGTACAGTACTACGATTTACAGTCCTTGTTGTGTGCCACATTGCAGGTAGGGCAGTTTGTTTTCACTTCTGCTACATTTCAGTGGTTATTTTTGTCAGTGACCTGATGATGGTGATACACATGGACAGGATCAGTTATTGTTGTCAGTGACCTGATGATGGTAATACACATGGACAGGATCAGTTATTTGTTGTCAGTGATGTGATGACAGATTGGAAAAAATTATAGCAGAAGGCATGGTACCAGAGGCCGACCGACACGAAGATGGGCACAGGATATAAGTGACTCCTTGAGTGTGAAAGTTCATGAGGGGGCAGAACTGGCGAAAGACTGAGTTTCTTTCAGATAGACTGATGAGAGCGACGTTCTGCAAGGGACCTGCTACATGATGGTAATGATAGGAATACACATGGACAGGATCAGTTATTTATTAGTGATGTGATGATGGGAATACACATGGACAGGATCAGTTATTGGTTGTCAGTGATGTGATGATGGGAATACACATGGACAGGATCAGTTATTGGTTGTCAGTGATGTGATGATGGGAATACACATGGACAGGATCAGTTATTGGTTGTCAGTGATGTGATGATGGAAATACACATGGACAGGATCAGTTATTGGTTGTCAGTGATGTGATGATGGGAATACACATGGACAGGATCAGTTATTGGTTGTCAGTGATGTGATGATGGGAATACACATGGACAGGATCAGTTATTGTTGTCAGAGATGTCATGATGGGAATACACATGGACAGGATCAGTTATTTGTTGTCAGTGATGTCATGATGGGAATACACATGGACAGGATCAGTTATTGGTTGTCAGTGATGTCATGATGGGAATACACATGGACAGGATCAGTTATTGGTTGTCAGTGATGTCATAATGGGAATACACATGGACAGGATCAGTTATTTGTTGGCAGAGCAGTTCACAAGCTTAAACATTATTTTTTTTCGTTTTTAACTTTTTTTTTCCACATCTTAGTTTTTATTTTTTTTTTCTTGTTTGTAACATACACATATTTTTTGTGTGTGTTTAGCAGTAATCTTATAAGGGATCTAATAAGATAACCTAGTGAAATCAGATGTGTTGTTGCAAAGGGAGGAAAAAAAAATCACATTTATGCCACTCGAAGTGAACGATGGAGAAAGATGAGATTGTGTACACAGGCTCTGAATTTGTAGATGGCAGGGAATGCTCATTTTCTGCACCAGCCTTTTCCTGATGGCTGCCCATCATTACCAGCTGCTGTTGACCTGCCTTTTCTTGACGACTGTCCAGCATTCCCAGCTGCTGTTCACCGGCCTGCTGTGGGGCATGCCTTGGAAAACTAGGGTGCACACAATAATCTGCAGAGTCCCACAAAACCAGGAAGGCTAACTCGGTCAACAAATGCAGGCAGAAAGAAGTCTGATGTATTGGCCGAAAGGTGCAAATATCGCAGCCAGCTGTAAAATAGGCACAGCGCAATCATATCTTTGTATGAATCCACATAAAGAAGATGATTATGTACGAGAGCTGAGAGATAGACTCGCGAGGTAAGGCTGCATAACCGGTCTAACATGTGAATGTTGTTCATTTTTTATTTTGCATCTTTTACTTTATTTTTATTTTGGGCATAGCTTGTTGCTTTTCTGCTTTAGTTTTGTTATCAGACATTGTTGAGACATCAATTTGATCTACTACAAATGTTAATGTACCCCTCAGAGTGTGATGCGAAAGGTGACACCGGAGGATGCCCCCAAAATTTCAGACCAAATTATGACTGCTTTGTTGAGGATGTTCCAGTCGACCAGTGGCAAGGCCGGTGGCGTTCAGGAGGATGCTCTGCTAGCCATGTCTACACTGATAGAAGGTTTGTGGCTAACAGCTCTTTGTTGGTTCAGTTTGAATTTTCAATTGTGACTAGTCTTAGATATACAGCATGTGTGAACCAATTACATCTGATTCAAGTCATTGCTTTTTTCTTATTCTTCATGTATCCTCAAAAGGGCAGTTGACACGCTGTGTTGTCGTTTCCAGCTAGGCTATAAATCTAACAAAATGGTTTTTGTTGTTGTTTAGATCAGTGTCTACAACCTGGCTGAGATAAGACAACTAGCCTCTCTTTGATTATGAAAGTGTATAGTATATTCTTTAACTTATGATGAAGTATATACCGCCCCAGTCTGATCATGTCATGACTGAATGGTTTCTGTTTTGAAGCCGTCATTATTGTAATTTATTGCCTTCATGCTTGTGTTGATGTGAACCGATAACCTTTTATTCTGGTATTATAAACACATATTATATGAGAATGAATATATGATCCTAACTTATGATGAAGTATATACCGCCCCAGTCTGATCATGTTATGACTTGAATGGTTTCTGTTCTAAAGCCGTCATTATTGTAATTTATTGCCTTCATGCTTGTGTTGATGTGAACCGATAACCTTTTATTCTGGTATTATAAACACATATTATATGAGAATGAATATATGATCCTAACTTATGATGAAGTATATACCGCCCCAGTCTGATCATGTCATGACTGAATGGTTTCTGTTCTGAAGCCGTCATTATTGTAATTTATTGCCTTCATGCTTGTGTTGATGTGAACCGATAACGTTTTATTCTGATATTATAAACACATATTATATGAGAATGAATATATGATCCTAACTTATGATGAAGTATATACCGCCCCAGTCTGATCATGTCATGACTGAATGGTTTCTGTTCTGAAGCCGTCATTATTGTAATTTATTGCCTTCATGCTTGTGTAGATGTGAACTGATAACGTTTTATTCTGGTATTATAAACACATATTATATGAGAATGAATATATGATCCTAACTTATGATGAAGTATATACCGCCCCAGTCTGATCATGTCATGACTGAATGGTTTCTGTTCTGAAGCCGTCATTATTGTAATTTATTGCCTTCATGCTTGTGTAGATGTGAACTGATAACGTTTTATTCTGGTATTATAAACACATATTATATGAGAATGAATATATGATCCTAACTTAATGATGAAGTATATACCGCCCCAGTCTGATCATGTCATGACTGAATGGTTTCTGTTCTGAAGCTGTCATTATTGTAGTTTTATTGCAGATTAAATGTCTTGCTTTCATTCTTGTGTAGATGTGAACTGATAACGTTTTATTCTGGTATTATATACACATATTATATGAGAATGAATATATGATCCTAACTTATGATGAAGTATATACCGCCCCAGTCTGATCATGTCATGACTGAATGGTTTCTGTTCTGAAGCCATCATTATTGTAATTTGCCTTCATGCTTGTGTTGATGTGAACCGATAACGTTTTATTCTGATATTATAAACACATATTATATGTATATATTATACCGCCCCAGTCTGATCATGTCATGACTGAATGGTTTCTGTTCTGAAGCTGTCACTATTGTAGTGTTATTGCAGATTCAAGGTGTCTGGCCTGTCATGCTTGTGTAGACATAAACATGTCATAACTGAAATGGGTTCTGTTCTAAAGCAGTGAATGTATGCATGTCTCTGTGCCCTGTTTGTACAGCATGCTTTTGTGGTCAATGAAATAACTATTGAGGGGTGTGCCTGGCCTTTGACTAGAGGCAGTAAACATAGGTCATATATATGGAGTGGTTTGATTATGGTATGCTATTTTGTCCCTTTCACACGTTTGCTTGAATAGGTATTGATACTAGCACCTGAGCTTCCTGAAGTCATATAGCACAGAAATAATGTCACACGCTAATGGTGGTACTGTAGGTCTACCTGTTGTTTTCCCCTGGAAACATCTGTGAATATCTACTGTCTGTCACACAAGGCACAAGTCAACTTTTGTTTGAAAACTGTTGCCATGTACGTTAAGCAGTGTGTTAGTTATCTACATGATGAAGCATATACCGCCCCAGTCTGAGACTATCATGACTGAATGGTTCATGTTCTGATGCAGCCGTTAGTTTGGCATGGATCATCTCTGTCATACCTAACCATAGTTGAATTGTCTGTGTATATATCGATTAACTCTGTCAGACCTTTAAAGAATGTTGTATAACTGGTGTGGTTAATGGGGTATTTCATTTCTTCAACATGGTTTTTATTATTGTTTTGTCGTTATTACATGAACAGTTCAGGGGTTTAGCGTTTTCTTTATTTTTTTCCTCTTTTAGTGTTTCATGTGTCGAGGTTTTGATTGCAGCTCTTCTGGCCACCTCAACCATAGACACATTGAACTGTTGTAGAGTATTTTTTTTTAATGTTATCTTTCAATCTTGAGCTATCTCATGCTTTATTTCTCTTGAAGCATATACAGCCCCAGTCTAATTGTTTTGTGACTGAATGGTTAATGTTTTGAGACAACACATGGTTTTACTACACAAATCATATTCCATTTTTAATTTAAGCATAAAGTTTGAATTTGTATGTAGAAAGATTGCTTTGCTTTTGAGAAAGCTGTAGTTTCTGTTGTTCGCATAGTTTGAAATAGCTGTAGTTTCTGTTGTTTGCCAAAGCTGTAGAAAGAGATAGTGGTGGCAGTTGAGGTCCTTAAGTCACTTGAAGTATTTACCGCCCCAGTCTGACTGTCCTGACTGAATGGTTTATTTTCTGAGACAGCACTTGGTTGGTGATGATGGTGCCAGCTCTGTTCATTGTGATAGTTGACGGAATGGGTTGTTTCTGTATATCTAGATGTTGATAATTGATAGAATGGGTTGTTTCTGTATATCTAGATGTTGATGGAATGGGTTGTTTCTGTATATCTAGATGTTGATGGAATGGGCTGTTTCTGTAGATGTTAATAGTTGATGGAATGGGTTGTTTCTGTATATCTAGATGTTGATGGAATGGGTTGTTTCTGAATATCTAGATGTTAATAGTTGATGAATAGTTTTGCTAAGCTTAACAAAGCTGCTATGTTATTCAGTCATGTGATGAAGCATCTACCGCCCCAGTCTGATGATATCATGACTGAATGGTTTATGTTCTGATGCCACACTTTGTTCTTCTATGTTGTGAAGTTTCCAGTTATCTTTCTTACTATAGCTGTATTGAATATTAGATGTAGTCAACGGTAGGACCTGTTTTTTTAACTGTCCTATGTTATGCTGGCATGCTTTGTCTGTTAGAAGTTATATTTATGATCAATGGCCATAAGTTGGATCACATGATCTCAGTCATATGATGACAGGTATACCGCCCCAGTCTGATGAAGTCATGACTGAATGGTTCATGTTCTGATGTAACACTTGGTTTTCTATAAGAACATTTTGAGCATAGTTATTGTAAGATTGTAGTCTCCACCTTGTTCAAACTCCAGCAGAATGTTCTTCTTCTTTATCCACCTGTGGACTTTGCTCTTGTACCAGAACTTGAGTTTTATGTGTATAAAAAGTTTATAGTTTTTTGTGTGCACGGCTCTGATTTGTATGCAGACTGTTGATTCCTCATTATTAGTCAGATGTACATTGACCTCAACGAAACTTTCCTCCCCCACCCTTTCCCTCCCCAAATAGGGTTTACAGAACCCATGACTGCCTGCACACATTTACTTATAGTTGATAGCAGGATCATTTTCTCGTCCTTTAAAAAAACCAACAACATTGACTGTCCCATGCATTGAGGAATTTATGCATGCCCCCCCCCCCCCCCCCCCCCCCCCCCCAATCCACAATCTGTCTCACTAGATGCAGTCAGTGTGTGTTTATTATCAGTGTTACTGTTAAAATTTATATTGGAATAGTCATCACAAGTGGTCTGCTGCCTTAGATACATGAAAGTGCAAACCCACATCAATGTTTTTTTATGTCACTGGTGGTTTCCATCTCTGTGTTGGGCGTTTAATGCTGACTATGTACTTACATATTTTACTGAGCTTATGGGGACTGCATGGCCTTAATGATAGTCTTTTGTATGTTCTTGAGTCGTATGATGAAACATATACCGCCCCAGTCTGATAGTAATGACTGACTGGTTTATACTCTGAGACGTTCATTTTGTTTTGATGTTCCATTTTAATTGACAGCTCTATTGGTTGAGTTTACTTGTGCCTGATGCAGGCTACTCTGTAAGATTATTCAGTCTTAGATATGGTTCATTCACCAGTTCTTTAGGGGAATCTCATGGCAGTGAAGAGGATTGCTCCGGTGACACCTCTAGTTTCGGTGTCAGTGTTTGCACTTGTTGATCCCAGTCACTGTCAGCGGTGACACCTCTAGTTTCGGTGTCAGTGTTTGCACTTGTTGATCCCAGTCACTGTCAGCGGTGACACCTCTAGTTTTGGTGTCAGTGTTTGCACTTGTTGATCCCAGTCACTGTCAGCGGTGACACCTCTAGTTTTGGTGTCAGTGTTTGCACTTGTTGATCCCAGTCACTGTCAGCGGTGACACCTCTAGTTTTGGTGTCAGTGTTTGCACTTGTTGATCCCAGTCACTGTCAGCGGTGACACCTCTAGTTTTGGTGTCAGTGTTTGCACTTGTTGATCCCAGTCACTGTCAGCGGTGACACCTCTAGTTTTGGTGTCAGTGTTTGCACTTGTTGATCCCAGTCACTGTCAGCGGTGACACCTCTAGTTTTGGTGTCAGTGTTTGCACTTGTTGATCCCAGTCACTGTCAGCGGTGACACCTCTAGTTTTGGTGTCAGTGTTTGCACTTGTTGATCCCAGTCACTGTCAGCGGTGACACCTCTAGTTTTGGTGTCAGTGTTTGCACTTGTTGATCCCAGTCACTGTCAGCGGTGACACCTCTAGTTTTGGTGTCAGTGTTTGCACTTGTTGATCCCAGTCACTGTCAGCGGTGACACCTCTAGTTTTGGTGTCAGTGTTTGCACTTGTTGATCCCAGTCACTGTCAGCGGTGACACCTCTAGTTTTTGGTGTCAGTGTTTGCACTTGTTGATCCCAGTCACTGTCAGCGGTGACACCTCTAGTTTTGGTGTCAGTGTTTGCACTTGTTGATCCCAGTCACTGTCAGCGGTGACACCTCTAGTTTTGGTGTCAGTGTTTGCACTTGTTGATCCCAGTCACTGTCAGCGGTGACACCTCTAGTTTTGGTGTCAGTGTTTGCACTTGTTGATCCCAGTCACTGTCAGCGGTGACACCTCTAGTTTTGGTGTCAGTGTTTGCACTTGTTGATCCCAGTCACTGTCAGCGGTGACACCTCTAGTTTTGGTGTCAGTGTTTGGACTTGTTGATCCCAGTCACTGTCAGCGGTGACACCTCTAGTTTTGGTGTCAGTGTTTGCACTTGTTGCTCCCAGTCACTGTCAGCAATGGCATTAATAATTCTGGGAATGTTATGCCTGTACTGTCATGTTGTTGTTGTTAGTTGTAATAACTATTTTGTCATTCTTTTAATTTATAATTACCCACAGTTGGCCATCTTTGTCTTATGTCATGTCTCAGAATACAATTGTAATTGCACGGCTAAGGTTAGCACAATTTGGTATTTGTTGGATTTATGTCCTGTGCTCTGCTGGTGGGATAAGAGCAGAAGTGTGTTTCTGTTTATTATAGCCATCATCGTTTGTGTCTTTCTTCTTAGCCACAATTGTGGAAACAATAGTGGTAGATTGTTTCAGTGTGTTTTTTCTGACAATGCCCATTTACATAAATGTTGTTTGAGATATTGGCACACTAGGTTTGTTTTTATATTTTGGGACTGTGGTTAAGGCGTGAGATATCTCTGATCTTTTTCTTGTCTTCTAGTATTGTAGCTTCTAGCTTTACTCTTTTTCTTGTCTTCTAGTATTGTAGCTTCTAGCTTTATTTCTCTTTTTCTTGTCTTCTAGTATTGTAGCTTCTAGCTTTATTTCTCTTTTTCTAGTATTGTAGCTTCTAGCTTTATTTCTCTTTTTCTTGTCTTCTAGTATTGTAGCTTCTAGCTTTATTTCTCTTTTTCTTGTCTTCTAGTATTGTAGCTTCTAGCTTTATTTCTCTTTTTCTTGTCTTCTAGTATTGTAGCTTCTAGCTTTATTTCTCTTTCTATTGTTGCTGACCCTGTCCTTAATTAATTCACTCAGCTTAGGAGAGCACATGTTTTGATACTAACTGTAGAGACTAATAGTGAGCTGGTACCGGTCATGTTGTTGAGTTCACATGATGAAGCATCTGCCGCCCCAGTCTGATTGTATCATGACTGAATGGTTCATGTTCTGTTGCAGTACTTGGTTCTTTGCGATGTTCTCAGTTCTGTTTCTTTGTCGAAGATGATAGCTATAGTTTCTATTGTTTGTCATAGGCATGGAGAGGACAGTAGTGGTAGGTTAGAGTCACATGATGAAATTTATACCGCCCCAGTCTGATTGTATCATGACTGAATGGTTCATGTTCTGATTCAACACTTGGTTCTTTACGATGTTCTTAGTTCTTTTTCTTTGTCGAAAATGGTAGCTATAGTTTCTGTTGTTTGTCATAGGCGTGGAGAGGACAGTAGTGGTAGGTTAGGTCCTTAAGTCACATGATGAAATGTATACCGCCCCAGTCTGATTGTATCGTGACTGAATGGTTCATGTTCTGAAACAGCCATCCTTTTCCTCAAAAATCTATTAAATTGTGACTGATGCTTCCATTTACTCATAATTTAAAAAATGCTGTTCAGCTTACTAATTGTAATTAACTTGGTAAGTGTAATGTTTAAGAAACACAATGTGGCCTTGCCAAATAATGATGAAATATATACCGCCCCAGTCTGATTGTATCATGACTGAATGGTTCATGTTCTGATGCAGCCATCCATTTCCTAAAAAATGTATTAAAATGTGACTGATGCTTCCATATACTCATAATTTAAAAAATAATGCTGTTCAACTTTCTGACTGACTTGATAAGTGTAATGTTTAAGAAACACAATGTGGCCTTGCCAAATAATGATGAAATATATACCGCCCCAGACTGATCAACTCATGACTGAATGGTTCATGTTCTGAGACAAAAAGTTCTGGCATCTGTTACAGCAACTGCAGTGTTTTATCTGTTCGTTCTTTGTTGGTATTTATTTTGTCACCAAGAAGTGCCTACATTGAAAGATGTTAAATTTGTGTTTTGCTTCTGTCAGTTCTGGGTGAGAAGTTCCAGATGTACATGGATGCCTTTAAACCCTACCTTCTGTTGGGTCTCAAGAACTATGCAGAGTATCAGGTCAGTTGTCTGGAGTTTGTTGAATAGTTGTTTATTGTCTAGCTACACATCGTTTACACTAGTGCCTTATCTTATTCTGGGTTTCAAAGGGTTTTGAGATTAAAATTATATGCGTTTGTTTAAATGCTCTGATTGAATCCATCACTAGATTGTAAATTTGCAATGTTGAAATTTCTTTATAGTGTTAGGGGAAAGCCAGCTTAAGATGAAAAAAGGTTCCTGGCTGACACTTTGCCTTATGTTTTGCAGCTTGGCTGTGATATCTGACCTAGCCTAACACATCTGATTTCAGTATTCATTAGTTTATGGCTTGCTTGTTTAGGAGCAGGTGGCCTGTTATATTTTCTTCATAATTGGGCCCCACACCTCACATAAAGAGAACAATTCCTAATCAGATAATGCGTTGGTGAGTTGCAAAGGAGTGATATGAGCTGTAGTAATGACAGATGAGTGCGGCTGTATGTTAAACATGTGACCATTTGTCACATGACGCGTCTGTCGCATGTCTTTATTCCCCTAGTAATCAAAGACATTGGTCTAGAAGGTTCTCCGTAGCTCCAACGACCATCCAACATAACTTCAAGGGTGAGGCCACTCAAATAACAATTCCCACTGCCATAACAAATAATATATGGGCACAACTTGGCCTGACTTCTTCACCACTTAAAAGCCCCCAGACTAGATAGCAAACCTGTCATAGTCACAATATAACAAGTAATGAATCTGACCAAACAACACTACATTCACAATCTATCCATCCTAAAAGAACTGGAAAAGATTAGACACTGACAACTCTGAATCCAGAATAATAATACGTTGTGTAATAGGTACAACACAGGTAAGAACTCTCAAAGGTATAATCTTCTTCTTCACGTTCACCGGCTGTAAACTCTTGCGGAAAGTTCTGGATGTTCGTCCATATCTGGACTGCAGTCCTGTTCTAAAACCTGAGTGTTGCGTGTGCAACAGATCTAATTTGTATGCAGACTGTTGGTGCCTTGCCTCTCAGGCAGATGCACTCTGGCTTTAAAAGAAGCTCCCAATTAGTCGACTTTTACGACATGCTTTTGGGTAGGCAGTGGGTCTATTCTTATTTTCCCCACGATGGGGCCCCGGAACCCACAGGGGGAGGTAAATTAATGAAGAAGACAAATCAAATGATAGAACTGAATCAAGACTGAACTATTCCAGAAATACTCCAGCCCTGCCTACAACACTTGACAGCTCATCAGGGTAAGACCTTGTTGTGACTTGGGTCAAAGTGGACACTAAGTGGAGAGGGGTACGTGATGTGGGCAGGTCCAAGACCAGAGGGGTGTTCTGCTGTCATGTGACACCTTTGCAAAGGAGATCTGGGTGGAGTTCACTAGAAAGACTAAGTAATGACTAGGTGTTTTATTACCAAAAAGACATAACTGGACTGCAATACGCTAGAAAGACAAGAAATGACAGTCAAGATGGCCTACAAACAGAATTGGTTGTTAATACATCTTTGTGTGACACCCGGTGTCATTTGTGTAATAAAGTTTTTAAGTCAGAGATCCACCTCAGCCGCCAAGTTTATTATCCATTTATTTATATGAAACATGTTTGATTGTGAATATGATTGTTATCCATAGATTCGTATGAAACATGTTTGATTGTGAATATGATTATTTTGTCTGTAGGTTTGTTTGGCTGCTGTGGGCATTGTGGGTGATCTGTGCCGTGCCCTAGGTGCCAACATCCTCCCACACTGTGATGAGCTAATGATGATGCTCTTAGAGAACCTTGGGGTGAGTAATTTCTCCACTCTCCTTTGTTTTCCTCACTCAAGCCTCCTTCCGGTCTCTGTTATGCTCTTTAAGAACCTTGGGGTGAGCACATATTTGTAGACAGCAATTTCTCCTCTCCCCTTTGTTTTCTTCACTCAAGCCTCCTTCCTGTCTCTGTCATGCTCTTTGAGAACCTTGGGGTGAGCACATATTTGTAGACAGCAATTTCTCCACTCTCCTTTGTTTTCTTCACTCAAGCCTCCTTCCTGTCTCTGTCATGCTCTTTGAGAACCTTGGGGTGAGTACATATTTGTAGACAGCAATTTCTCCACCCTCCTTTGTTTTCTTCACTCAAGCCTCCTTCCTGTCTCTGTCATGCACTGCTGCAGTTCCAGACCTTTTACGTAAGCTGATGTTTGCCAAGTCATTCTGTCAGGTTAGACTGGGTTTTGTACGCATAAGTCTTCTGCCATAGTGTCCTTGTTTTTTTTTCTGTGTTAAGATTTTGCTGCATCATGTATGTAGAAACTCGTTAGCTGTTAGGATGTGCAGTTTAGTCCATCATAATAATATACCATATTGTGTTATATCTCTTAAATAAGTAATAAATGACTGTTTAATACTTTGCTGTGTAATTTGTGATGTGATTGCTGCAAATATTTTTAGCAAAGCTACAGACAGTCATGTATAAATCTAGTAAAGAAACATAGATATGTTTTTCATCCACAAATCCTATAGATGCCATCTCTCAGAATTTCAGGAAATAGTCGTTACACACACACACACACACCCCCCCCCCCCCCCCCCCCCCCCCCCCCCCCCCTCACTTCAGTTAACTTGTCATATTCCAGTAAATGAACAATTCTTCAATGGCTGAACAACTATCTTGGTCATAACATCTAACATAAAATACCTTCTAACAAGAATCCAGATAACGGTTGAATGCTTTTTTGCTAAAACATCTTTTTAAAAAGAAATCATTTATTTCCAGTTTTCAATCACTCATACCATTTCAATGATGCTTATAGTGCAAGCGGACAAAAGCAATAATTGTGGGAGAATTTCTTCCCGTTGCATGGGCTTATGAGCTATGGACCAGTTCTCAAAACCTAAACATTTTAGCTTTAAGACGTCGGCACTGAAAAATTCACACAAAATTTGAATACAAAGCAATACTGCCATTCCACCAGACCTGAACTCGAAAATAAGCTCTCAGACAGTATCATGGCTCAGAAAGAAGAAAATCAGCTCTCAGACAGTATCATGGCTCAGAAAGAAAAAAATACTTTGTTCATATCAAATATCTTGTTCAGAAATAATAAAAGATGTCATTGTCCTGGAAGAGATGACATTTTCCCACCAACCCACTGGTAAAAGTACAGATCCCTTTTTTACGCCTTGGGCGTATCGGGTATATGGGAAAAGCACCCCATATTTTTACAGACTAATTGGCACTAGGTGAGTTATGTGGTCAACATTACGTGGGTCGTCTTTACTTCCCCAGGACATACATCCTGGTACCCATTTTAGCCTGGGTTGACCTGTGACGCCCCTTACCATGATTAAAATGCACGCAGCCAGTAGTTGGTTTTAAAATTGGTACGTTAAAATTACAAGTCGGACTTGCAACGCCTAAGCAGTGGACGCTGCCCCAACCCAGTATTTAAGATAATAACCTCATAATAGAGTTTTTATGACAGTAACATAAGGCTGCCATTTATGTATTGCATAGAGCTCACAGTTGTTCCTCCAATATACTCTGTCCTAGGCATTTTTGTGCTGTGGATGCAATCTAGTCCAGTCCATCTGTTGCCTCTCTCACCGACACTAGTGAAGGATTTACTGTTTTTTTATTCCCAAAAAATACTTACCAATCAGTAAGGAATCTGCTAAAGTCTTAACTTGTTGAATGTTGTAAAGGTGTCAATCAGTGTGGATTCTATTGAACTTGTGTGAATCTCTCCAGAACGAAAACGTCCATCGGTCAGTGAAGCCTCAGATCCTGTCAGTGTTTGGGGACATCGCCTTAGCCATCGGCACCAACTTCAAGAACTGCCTGGATGTGGTGATGAACACGCTGCAGCAGGCATCTCAAGCTCAGGTGGATAAGGTGAGCCTTACCCTATCTCAGCCAGTCATGTATGTGTGCATGTTGGGATAGCTTCTTTTATTAGGTCTCCTGTATAATCGTCAACCTCTGATGAGCACCAGATATTGCAGTAACCAGCTCAGCTGGGACAGAGATTGTAGGTTCACCAATTCAGCTGGGATAGTAGTAGTTTTGCCAGTTCATCTTAGACAACATATGTCTATGGTGCTTTGACTCAGTTTTGTGCCACTTCAGGGTCGTGGGAGTGGCAGCAGTTCTAGCTCAGTGGCCAGGTGTTTGTTTGGTGGCTTGAAGGTTGACAACACCAACACACTAAACAGCTGCCTATACTGATAATGCACTGGTGCACAGCTTTATTTGTTCTAACTCCTCTACTTTGAGATGTTTGCACCATTTGATGGTAAATGTGTATTCTGAGGTAAGTAGCTGTTGCGTAGTGGGGCTTGTCCTTGTGCAAACATCCACCTGACACCTACAGAGGTCTACTGTGCTTCATGTGTATTCTGAGGTAGGTAGCTGTTGTGTAGTGGGGCTTGTCCTTGTGCAAACATCCACCTGACACCTACAGACGTCTACTGGGATTTATGTGTATTCTGAGGTAGGTAGCTGTTGTGTAGTGGGGCTTGTCCTTGTGCAAACATCTACCTGACACCTACAGAGGTCTACTGTGATTTATGTGTATTCGGAGGTAGGTAGCTGTTGTGTAGTGGGGCTTGTCCTTGTGCAAACATCTACCTGACACCTACAGAGGTCTACTGTGATTTATGTGTATTCGGAGGTAGGTAGCTGTTGTGTAGTGGGGCTTGTTCTTGTGCAAACATCCACCTGACACCTACAGAGGTCTACTGGGATTTATGTGCTTACCAGCATGGAAGGTTAATGTGTGTGTGTGTGTGTAACTTTCAAACTGATTATGATATGATGATTGGTTAGTGTGATTGTGTGACTTTCAAAAGGACTGTTTATCAAGTGAGTGTGCTTGTCCCATATCCACCCAGCCTAAAATGGGTGCCAGCTAGTGTTCTGGGAAGTAAAAGCAACCAGTATGATGCTCACCGTCTGAGTACCCTGTGGTCTGCAATAATATAGTTCTAACACTAACCGATGCACAGGTGTGAGAATGGCTCTTGGTTTTGTTTTCAATGTTGTGTATGTGTATGTGACTTTCAGACGGACTATGATATGATCGACTATCTGAACGAGCTGAGAGAAGGATGTCTGGAGGCTTATACTGGCATAGTGCAGGGACTCAAAGGTGATGGAGAATCTCCCAATCGTGAGTAGTTGTCACTTGGTCTTTGTTTGTTTGTGTGATATGTCACAACAGTCCTCCAGCAGGTGGTGATTTCTTGATTATGTGTGAGGTAAAAGAGAGAAAGGCCAGACCTTGCGAGAAACAGATTAGACTAGAACTTGGGAGAGACCGATTAAACCAGAACCTGGGAGAGACAGATGAGACTAGAACTTGGGAGAGACAGATTAAACCAGAACTTGGGAGGCAGATTAGACCAGAACTTGGGAGAGACAGATGAGACTAGAATTTGGGAGAGACAGATTAAACCAGAACTTGGGAGAGACAGATTAGACCAGAACTTGGCAGAGACAGATGAGACTAGAACTTGGCAGAGACAGATGAGACCAGAACTTGGGAGAGACAGATGAGACCAGAACTTGGGAGAGACAGATGAGACCAGAACTTGAGAGAGACAGATGAGACTAGAACTTTGAAGAGACAGATGAGACCAGAACTTGGGAGAGACAGATGAGGCCAGAACTTGGGAGAGACAGATGAGACCAGAACTTGGGAGAGACAGATGAGACCAGAACTTGGGAGAGACAGATTAGACCAGAACTTGGGAGAGACAGATTAGACCAGAACTTGGGAGAGACAGATTAGACCAGAACTTGGGAGAGACAGATGAGACTAGAACTTGGGAGAGACAGATGAGACTAGAACTTGGCAGTGACAGAGGAGACCAGAACTTGGAAGAAAGATAAGGCCGTCAAATTTACTTTTGAGTTGTGAATCTCTTTATTCTAGAACACAATGTTCTAATAAATGTTAAATATCATCTCTGTTCATTAGTTACTAACCATTGTTTAGTTTAGTAGACTTAAAGTTATTTAGTGGATGCCTTATCTTGTAATTGAGAACATGGGTATTGAACTGTAATGGTGGATGGTTCAAGTGTGATTCTCTTGCTGGCAGCTGATGTGGTCCTGATCCAGCAGCATGTGGGACATATTGTGTCTTTCATTGAGCACATTGCTGCAGATGAAGACAAGAGTGATAGCAACGTGGCTGCCTGCTGTGGTCTCATAGGGTGAGTACTTTTGTTGTTGGTTTCCTTGTTTGTCCAGGCCTTCCTCGGGTCTCCATCGATTGTTGCAGTGCCAACATAGACACAGTCATGTAGTGTTCTGTTGCAGTGCCAGCATTGACACAGTCATGTAGTGTTCTGTTGCAGTGCCAACATTGACACAGTCATGTAGTGTTCTGTTGCAGTGCCAACATAGACACAGTCATGTAGTGTTCTGTTGCAGTGCCAACATAGACACAGTCATGTAGTGTTCTGTTGCAGTGCCAACATAGACACAGTCATGTAGTGTTCTGTTGCAGTGCCAACATAGACACAGTCATGTAGTGTTCTGTTGCAGTGCCAACATAGACACAGTCATGTAGTGTTCTGTTGCAGTGCCAACATAGACACAGTCATGTAGTGTTCTGTTGCAGTGCCAACATAGACACAGTCATGTAGTGTTCTGTTGCAGTGCCAACATAGACACAGTCATGTAGTGTTCTGTTGCAGTGCCAACATAGACACAGTCATGTAGTGTTCTGTTGCAGTGCCAACATGGACACAGTCATGTAGTCTTCTGTTGCAGTGCCAACATAGACACAGTCATGTAGTGTTCTGTTGCAGTTTCATGAAACATAAGCCTCAGGACATGTGGTTTCCATGAGCATTCTGTGGGCGGTTGGCTTGTTGCTATTCTGACGTCAGTCTGGTCGAGCTGCCTGTCAAGGGAGACCCCTGCCAAAAGATCTTGGGAGGGGGGGGGGGGGTGTCATAAAACTCTCATGCTCCTGCCACACTAAGGTAGTGACAGTCTGATAACATTAGACAGGTCTCCTGCATTTGGGTTGTGTTTAGTGTCGGCCTAGAGTGTAGAATGTTGCCCAAGTGGTGAATGTTGATACTGAAGGGCCCTGACCACTTCACTTGTAGATGTTATGAAAACTGTTTTGCCTGACATGTTGAAGATACAGGTCTCATTAGATTAGTGTACAAGTGAGAGAGAGATAGAGCTAACTGTTGTAAACTTGTTAGGTAGCCCTAGAATAAAGAAACATTGTGTGTTCTTGATTCACATGATGAAATGCATACCGCCCCAGTCTGATCAGCTCATGACTGAATGGTTTCTATTCTGAGACAGTAATCACTGGACCACTGCAATGTTTTGTCTGTTGGTATTTCTCCATCAGAATATGCCCACATGAAATGTTTCTGCTTGTTCCTCCATCTGCCCACAGAGACCTGTGTTCTGCATTTGGCAGCTCCATGCTCCCCATGGTCGACAGGGAAAGCATCAACAACCTCCTGACACAGGGCCGACGCAGTAAGATGCAGAAGGCAAAAACACTGGCCACTTGGGCAACCAAGGAAATCCGAAGACTTAAAAGTGCTGCCTCGTCATGGTGAGTCCTTCACTACCTTTCTAAAAGTAAGATCGTCACCACACTGCATAGTGCTAGGTGACAGTTATCGAAGAAATGTCTGCTATATTTTTGTCAGACCGCTTCATTTTAAACTTGATTTAATGACAATAAGTTATATATCCTATACCGAACTTTGCACACCAATCCGTTTTTATTAGCAGCTGTATATTTTATATTGAGTTGTTTTTCTCTTGCTCACAGTCTGTTTGAAATAAATGCAAAGTGGTTGTCATCCAATCACCTGCAGCTTAATTAGAACTCCAAGCAAGTCATCACATTCAATTCTTTATGAATTGCTGAGACTAGATGTGTTCGCCCATAAGGCACTGATATCACAGCCTAGCTGTACCACAACACAACTTACCAGCCAGTAGTAAGGGTGATTAGCTCCTGAATAAATCTTCCTGTGGTGTACACACTGGGCTCAACAAAAATCTCTGCAGCTGGTTTTTTTTTTTAAATAAGTGGAGCAGGGCTTCTCACCCAAGTTCTGGTCTCATCTCTCTCTCCAAGTTCTGGTCTCATCTCTCTCTCCAAGTTCTGGTCTCATCTCTCTCTCTCTCCAAGTTCTGGTCTAATCTCTCTCTCCAAGTTCTGGTCTAATCTCTCTCTCCAAGTTCTGGTCTCATCTCTCTCTCCAAGTTCTGGTCTCATCTCTCTCTCCAAGTTCTGGTCTCATCTCTGTCTCCAAGTTCTGGTCTCATCTCTCTCTCTCTCTCTCCAAGTTCTGGTCTAATCTCTCTCTCCAAGTTCTGGTCTAATCTCTCTCTCCAAGTTCTGGTCTAATCTCTCTCTCCAAGTTCTGGTCTCATCTCTCTCTCTAAGTTCTGGTCTCATCTCTGTCTCCAAGTTCTGGTCTCATCTATCTCTCCAAGTTCTGGTCTCATCTCTCTCTCCAAGCTCTGGTCTAATCTCTCAAGTACTGGTCTAATTTCTCTTCCAAGTTCTGGTCTAATCTCTCAAGTACTGGTCTTATTTCTCTCTCCAAAATCTGGTCTAATCTCTCAAGTACTGGTCTTATTTCTCTCTCCAAAATCTGGTCTAATCTCTCAAGTACTGGTCTAATTTCTCTTCCAAGTTCTGGTCTAATCTCTCAAGTACTGGTCTTATTTCTCTCTCCAAAATCTGGTCTAATCTCTCAAGTACTGGTCTTATTTCTCTCTCCAAAATCTGGTCTAATCTCCCAAGTACTGGTCTTATTTCTCTCTCCAAAATCTAGTCTAATCTCTCAAGTACTGGTCTAATTTCTCTTCCAAGTTCTGGTCTAATTTCTCAAGTACTGGTCTTATTTCTCTCTCCAAGTTCTGGTCTAATCTCTCAAGTACTGGTCTAATTTCTCTTCCAAGTTCTGGTCTAATCTCTCAAGTACTGGTCTTATTTCTCTCTCCAAGTTCTGGTCTAATCTCTCTCTCTCTCCAGGTTCACCTTAGTTTACTCAGAGGCCAACATTTGGAAAATGGGGATCGTCACAGGCCAGATGCCCAGTCCCAGCTTAGAAGAAGCATTAATATTATACAAATGGCAGGTGATCCGCGGGCCACTTGTTAGATCTTCACGGGCCAGATTTGGCCAATGGGCAGCCAGTTGAATAGCCGTGCAATAGAGCACATTTGTTTGCTGCTGCATTCAGTCATTCCACGATTCATCTGTCAGTGATGAGAGAAAAGTTAGGAAGTGACCTTTGGGAGCTTTTGATGAATCTTCTTGTTCTGTCCAAGTGTGAACATCCAGGTTATTTGATATATTGTTTGTTCAAGTTTGAACATTTTATGAATTTATTGAGCACCAAACACTCACGATGGGTTTGTTGGTAACTGTATAAGATGTGCCTGTCTTAACTACACATGTGCATTTGTTACATTAACCATGTGTTTGTTTAGCTCTTCCTGTTAACATTGGTTATCATTTACAACTCACAAGTTATGAATCATATCTGTACCACTGGCATCACATAAGTATCATCATCAGTTTCTGAATGAGTTTGTGTGTGGAGTGAAAGGTTGAACTGCTTGTTGGCTACATTCAAGAGGAGGATGCTATAGAGGTTCCAGTCTCTGTTTACAACAAGCCAATGATGACAGAAAACTCAGAAAGTGAACTTAATGAGCTTTTGATTAGTCTTTCTGAGGCAAATCTCTTTCATATGTGAACATCTGATGCTCTCTGGTGTCAGGAAGAGTTACATCTAGTTTCCTGCCTTTTGCTAATTCCTGTTTAGACACTTGCATAAAAATATTAACCCACACAAGAATTCAAACTAGTCAGCTTCACAATAACTACAGTCATGAACAACATAACCAGTGTTACAGTTATCAGTGTACAACATCAGACAGTGAAACAATTGCAAACAAGAATTTTTCAGGTCACTTAACTTTGACTTAGAGGCTTGTCACTATATATCTATCATATCCATGCTTGAACAGTAGAGACTGTTCAGGCATCTCACTACAGATTTGTTTCTGTTGGGAATTATGGACATAATGATGATTTGTGTTGATCTTTTTGGGTATGAATGAAACACATGTTTCTGTAAACGCATTAAAATCTAAAAATTCATTCCCTAATTCGGTGGTTCTATCACTACTTTCTGTTATACCACTTTTAGGGTAAGGAGGTGTAGAGGGGGGGGGGGGGGGGGTCGTGAGCCTGAGGATTTAGGGCCGCTTGGCTAGTGCAGGTAATACCTGCTGGGCCCTCTTTTCTTAAATCTGCCAGGGACCACTTTTTGTACTGAAAAATTCATCAGTATACCACCACACACAAAAATAAAAAAATATTGTTTTCTAAAGTTAATGGTTGTGTTTTAAATGTGATCTGCAGACCACCAAATGGGAAGCACAGGCCTGGCCTATGTTTGGTTTTGGGGTGTTGTAATGAGACCTGAACAAAAGGAGTTAGAGTAATGTTAGGGGCAGGGAAAATGTGAAAAACTGTATGGTTCAGTATAAGTAGATCATGTCAGTGAAACCAGCACACTCATGGTGAGTTGCTCAGTAGTGAATGATGTAGGTGTGTTCCTTGCATGATGTTGCTGCCAATGATGAAAGACAACTCTGAATGTGATCCCTGTGAGCTCTTGATTAGTCTTTCTGAGGCACAAGTCATCTAGACCAGCAACCTCTGACCTTCTGATACCAGTGTTGGTCCATGCAGAAATATGTTGTTGATCACCTGTTGGCTGAGACATAGGGACAAACATATGTAGCTGGAAATGTCATGGGACCAGCACCGGCCCAGAGACCTCAGGCTGAAGAACTTGGATCACAACGCGGCTGTTCAGGCTAGATAAAGCTGTTATGGAATTTAAGTGAGGCTGTTCAGGCTAGATAATAGCTGTTATGGAATGTAAACGCGGCTGTTCAGGCTAGATAAAGCTGTTATGGTATTTTAACGCGGCTGTTCAGGCTAGATAATAGCTGTTATGGAATTTAAACGCGGCTGTTCAGGCTAGATAATAGCTGTTATGGATTTTAAGTGAGGCTGTTCAGGCTAGATAATAGCTGTTATGGAATGTAAACGCGGCTGTTCAGGCTAGATAAAGCTGTTATGGAATTTAAACGCAGCTGTTCAGGCTAGATAATAGCTGTTTTAGAATTTAAATGC